ACTAATAAATTAAATAATATATAGTTAAAAACATTATTTTAAATTAATTAATTTTAAATTGTAAAACAATAAATATTAATTATTTTATTATTAATAATTATAATTATTAACTCATTTTAACAACAAAACTAAATGTAATCATACTTCCTTTATATGACAATAATACACGCTTTTGGATTTTATTTTTGAATTAAAAATTTTAACATAATTTATGTTTTGGTCTATATTATTCTTAAAAATAAAAAAGAATCATTTATAATATAATAAGTAATCAAAATTGAGAAATAATAATATAATTAAATTTAAAGAAAATATTTCTTCTTAAAATATGAAAGAGATTATTATTTTAAAAGTTTGTTTAATTTGTATTATTATAGTACAAGTTAAAAATATATTAAATATATATTTTTTATAAATTTACATTAAAAAACACAAATTAATATTTAATTTAATTAATATTAAAATTAATATTAATTTTTATATTTTTTTATAATAAAAATATAATAAATATATTTTTACCTCGTACTCGAAGACATAAAATTAGAAAAACCGATTTTTCTCGTTCTAAACTGACAGGAAAATATTTTTGCAGGTGCATAGTCATACCATACCCATAAATATAGGACAGGACTGAAGATCTGAAGATCTCGAAGGACACAAATCCATGTCGTACGTACGGAAACTTGGGGTGTTTGGTGGAGAAACTTTTCATCTTAAAATTCTCTATATTTTCATTGTCAATAAATTATTTAAATATTTTTATACATCATAACAAACTAAGAATACAAATAATATTTTTAATTTTTATTTTTTAATATAATTTTTAATTCATTAATTTTTTTTACACTCCTTTAAGAGAAAAGATTTTCTCTTACAATGCCTATTTTTAAGAGAATAAGATTTTGTCCGAATTTTTTATATAAAATCTATTTGACAATTTTTTATTAAAATTTTATATTTATTTTTATTAAAAATAAAAAATTAACAATTTAACAAAATTTTACTATAAAATTTATTATTTTTTCATATAATACTTACTAATTTTTTATTTAATATTTTTAATTACTTTTTTAATAAAAATTTTAATTATGAAGGTAGCTTTAACCAAATAGCCATTTTAATTCATGCTAAAGCTTGTTTCCTGAAGAGTGTATGATACTGAAAAAATCAGAGGCGTCATGTCATGTGTGAGACATGTATATCCGTATAGCGAGAGTAATGTTATGGTCACTATAAAATTTATTATAATTATTAATTTATTATTAATTTTATTTATAATTTTATTAATTTATAATTTTTTATATAATTAATTATAATATTTAAAAATATTTATTTATAAATTAATTAGTAACAATCAAAATAAAACAAAATTAGTAACAAATGGGCACCCCTGACAAATATATGGTCGCAGCTCGCAATAACCACTGCCACCACTTTCTCTAATTTTAAGTAATTCTTTAACGAGAAAAATAGCTGTTCCACGCGCCCGTTCCCCGTTCTTTGCGTTGTTTAGATAATTGTTTACTCCATCCCTCCCCTAAATAATTATTAATTATTAATTTATTTAAATTAATTATTATATTTTTATATTTTAAAATAAATTTTTTTATTTAACTCTATTATTATTAATTTATTTTAATTAATTATTTTATTACAAAAAATCTAACTTTATCTTTTAATTTTTTTAAAAGATAATATAAGTAAAATTATAAATTATCTTAACTCTTTAATTTAAAGAAAAAGTAAAAAATTGATAATTATTTTGAGACGAAAAGAGTAATTATTATAATTATTTATTAGAGACTAGTGTTTGTCAATTGGATCTGTTAAAAAATTAAGAGGATAAATATTTTAAAATTATATCATTTCATTAAAAGTATTATGAGAAAGAATCAAAATAAACTCAATTCTAATTTGAAAATAGGTTATTTTAGCATTATCTAATGAAAATTTATTGAAATAATATAATTTTTGGGTCTTTTTCCTTTTAATTTTTTAAAAATTTGAGTGACAAACACTTTTCCCCTTTTATTAATAACAATTACTCTAGTTTCATTTTTTAACTTTTTAAATATGAATTTTATATTAAAATTTAATAACTTACATAAATAACAATAAATTTTTTTATACGTAATTCTTATTGAGTATTTTTATTTGATAAATAAATTAAAAAAATTTACAATTTAGCTACTTATGATTTTGGGTAATTGCATATAAAATCTTAAGGTTTTAAAATATGTACATAACATACCTATAGTTTTAGATATATGTAAATAAAGATACAACATTTCAAAATATGCATATAAATACATAAGGTTTGCACCAAATGTAAATAATCATTTGAAATTTCTTAAAATCTCTTGAAGTCTCTAATTTAAAAAGGGGTGTGGTTATGGTTCAACCACCATTTTATCAAGTCCACTTATTCCTATTTAGTTCAACTATTAAAAACTAATAACTGATAAAGGATTAAATGCTAAATTTAGTCTCTTAACTTTTAATTTTAATCAAATTTTGCCTATCAACTTTTTTTTTTCACTTTTTTCATCCTTTGACATTCGTCAATTTGGACCATTAAATCGATGTAGTTGGCATTTTTTTTATTTATTTAAATGACATGGAAATTACAACTAACCAAAAAAGCTTAGCAGGACAAAAAAAATTAGGCCACTTCAAGAACCAATGGCAAAATTACAGTACTACCGTCATCTTCCTCATTTCACCACCTCCACTAAATTACTCTCTATTTCTCCCCCTCTCTCCCTTCATCACTATCCTCCCTCTCTCTCCATCGCCTTCCTCCTCGAATTCATCCTTTGTTTGAATCCCTAACGAACTAGAATTGGATACGAACTAGAGGGCATCATTTAGGTCTTTTTGAGGGGATCGGATGTTCTTAGTTCTTTTGGTTCAAAGCTAGTTTTTGCACTTGCTCTAGGTTCTTTTTTGTGTGGACAACTACCTCGCTCAAGCTCTACCAAAGAAAAGGTGTCAAACAAAGGCCACATCAAGGATTTTAGTACACAATCTATTGTTGAAATTTTTGTTGTGGCACTATAGATCCACAAGCTTGACGATGAAAATGATTGTGAGGATTTCAAGGTTGAGAAGCAAAAGAACAAGAGAGTAACATTTGCAAGGAAGTTGATGGTGAAGAACAAGAAGAAATAGAAGTTGAAGGAGTAGCTAGTTCTGAATAAGGTATGTGATTTTGAGTGGAATTTTATGATTACATTTATCATGTGAGTATATGAAAGGATCCAATGCATTTTGGCCATTTTTTTTTTCTATAAAATCAATGGGCGTTAATGATAAAGCTGGTTAATAAAAGAATATTATGTATTGATTTGGAGGATTGAGATAATTGAGCACTGAGCTTGTTATTGTTCTTGGTTTGAGCAATTAGATTAGGATAAAGAGAAAAAGTTCAATAAAAGAGATGAGATTTAATGTTAATGTTATTGTCCTACATGTATTAGTTTTTGTGGCCAGGTAATCTCTTTTTCACATGTCATTTTCATGTCATCCAAGAAAATAAAAGAAAAGCCATGTGGTTGCACCTAATAATTTAAACTAACAGAAGGATAAAAAGATGTGCTTTTTTTCAAAGTAGAGCGATGAAAAAGTACAGAAAAAAAAGTTAAGGGACAAAATTTGTTTAAAATTGAAAGTTAAGGGGTTAAGTTTGGTATTTAGCCTTGATAAAATAATTGATATTTATTATTTAACAAATTATAATTTATAATATAATATTTTTAGATATTATAACTAATTGTTTAAGAAAAAATTACAAATAAATAAAATATTAGTCAAACTAAATAGCTTTTGGTGGTCTTAACAAAATGGTAGGAGGTTATAACTTTCCTTATACAGAATGAAAAGACCAAAAAAAAAAAAAAAGAGAAGAATATTTAGGATATTTTAGGTAATCTCATGTGATTATGTGCATTTAATACAAACTTCAAGTGTTTATGCACACTCAATACAAACCTCAAGTATTTATGTATATATTTGGAAATCTCAAATCATTATGTGCACTTATCTCAAACTATAAATATGTTAAATGCACATTTTAAGATCTCATGTCTTTATCTACTCAACCTCAAACCACAGGTTGCTAAAATGTAACTTCTCCAAAAAATTTTAGGATAATTATTGATATATCATTTAGTTCAACATATTATAAAACACCCATTATTTTAATCGTTAAAATTTGTAACTTTTAGTTTTTCACCCTTAATTCAAATTTAAAAATAATAATTTCTTAATGAGAGTGTTGTAGAGTATGTTAAATTGAAGGGTGTATCCATTATTTTTAAAATTTTTAAATACCATTTATATAATATATTGAATATTCATTTGAAATTCATACATGAAAAATAAAAAATTTAAATTTAAATTACTAAAATTGAATGAATAAAATATATATAAATTAAATGACCTTTATTATAATTTCAAATGAAAGTAAAGAGTTTGAAGTAAAGTTGATCACGTACTCTTGCTAATTAACATCCTTTCCAATAGGTTAATGGTAGGCGTATAAGTTTTTACTTGAATTTCTAAAAATTAAAAGAAAAATATCTAAAAATTTTATTATTTTAATAAAACACTATTTTAATAAAACACTATAAACAAATTTTAAATAATTTTATTCCTTCTTTAAAAATAAGTTATTTTAGTTTCAATAGAAGTTTATGCATCAACTCTAACTTTAATTAACTAACTCCTTTAAAACTTTGTTATCTTTTAAGCAAGCCCTTTATACTTTTATTTCTTACTAAACCATCAAGCTTAATGAATATTGTGGTTGTTTGGAAGATCTTAAAAAGCAAGTTCGGTTTAAACAAAAATTTTCTCTCACAAATTTAAAAAATTATTATAGAGAAATTTTAAAATTAAATTTTTAAGTAATTTTTAGTTTGTTTTGAGAAAATTTAAATGTGTAACTTTTTCAAAACTTATTAAAAACTTTTTCAAGAGATAATTTTAAAATTTTTTTGATAAAATTTTGAATTTATGGAAGAAAAATTGACTTAAAACAAATTTACTTTTTAAGCCCTCCAAACACCCTCATTATTTATTTTCAGTTTCTACTTTCTCTTGCAAATAACTTTATGATGTAATTATTTTCTTATTAATTTAAATTATTTATTAAAGTTATTTTAATTTAAATTAAGAAAATAATTTTTTTTAAAGTTAAAAAAATTATTTTCTTAATTTAAATTAAAATAACTTTAATCAAACAACTTTAACTCAATAAGCAAAACACATTACTGGTCAACCGCCGAGTCAAGCGAACTAGTACCAACGTAACAAACCACACTCCATTGTTATTCTAGCTATTTATTTATTAACATCCCTAGCTCCATGGTCACATGGTTAGGAGGTGTGATGCAATTCAAAAAGCAGAAAAAGTATGGTTCCAATTACGAATGTCAACGGAGTCTTGCGGGGTCGGGAAGTTCTTTCTTGTCTCTATCCTCGCGAATGGTGACGACAAGAATCCTCGCGAGAATTTTTAATGGAGGGTAAATTTTACTTCGATTCTCGTTTTCCACCAATTAATATAAAAAAATAAATTTTTTAAATATAATTAATTAATATTCAATTATAATAAATAAAATTTTAAAAATTTAAAGATAATTAATTAAAATTTTTA